TTTTTTCTCCACAATTTTTTATTTTAAATTACAAAGGATGTTGCATACATTGATGAGTTTGTATCTGAATAGAAGTGCTAGGGCTCCAGGGTGACAGAGTAAACAAAAATCAATATTTTAATTGTGCCTCTTTAAAAAGAAAACTGCACAACTATTAACCAACATTAAACATTGCAACTCTTAACAGATCATGCTTTTAACAAGGTAAAATTATTTTCTGACAGAGACACAAGACTTTCAGTAAGTTTTTCTGAGCTCCAGTTGGAAATTGACTACAGAATATTGAGGACAGCATTACAAACATGACCCCAAGCATAAGCAGAGCAGGTTGCCACGTTTTGTTAAAAATTATTTTAATTGTTGCCTTTCAGTCAGTTCACTAAATCCACCATGTGCCATCAGCCTTTGAGTTCATTCTTAGCCACAATTACTGAGCTACAAGACATCTTTTAGACGGATGATGGGTAGGGGAAAAGGGTGGTTCTAAAAAGGGTAGGGGAAAAGGGTGGTTCAATCAACAGAAATGCAGTTAGTAGAATATAGTGTTCTAAGAAAGGTTCGAAAAGCAGCTACATTTATACCACTACATTTTTTTGGTTTTTAACGTCACAAAGAGGAAGGAAAAAAAGGAAGTATTGTGGTAGAAGATGCATTTGTAATTACGAAGTCCAAGCCATGAGAATCCTGCTCTAACCATTCTACGCACCCAAGTTTGGCTTATCCAGATGTCTAACTCTCCAATGTTCCTAACCCATTCAATCTTTAAATGCTGATACAGTACTACAGTATATATTGCTTGCTTAAAATAAAGAGTTTAGGATTTTTGTCCAGATTAAAAAATAAAATTGAGATTGGTTTTAAATGGATCTGGCTTTATTTTTGGCTCCATTACTCAATAGAAAGACAGTTAATAAATGCATAATCAGCATTTGCCTTTGTGGAAGTTCATGAATGTCTAAGAGCCTGAGGGGTATAAATTCAGCACACACACCTTACTATGCTATATCCATTAAAAATCATGGCCTATTGTAAAATGTAAATCAAACATCATCAGCAAGGTATCATTCAGTTTTTGGATGCAGTGAAAAAAAATATACTCTAGAGTACCACTTCCGCAATGCGGACATTGAAATATCTCCAATGTAAATGGATATTAAAAAAAGTGGTGTTTTCTCAACATGTAATGCCCTTTATATGGTTACAATAAGAATCAGCCACTTCAGCAGTAACTATTTGAAATGTATTTTGCATGATCCCTAGGGTAAACAAAATGAATTGCAGCTCTGTGAATAAGCCAAGGTTTCATCTGGTAGCATACTGAACTAGTGGTAGCCAACTGAAACCTTTAACTTTAAAATAAAAAAAAAAAAATCATGATTAGACACATTCTTCAAATTCATGTCCCAAGGCCAAATAAAGATACTAACATTCATGTTACATAACTGGGCTATGCCTCAACACAATATCAGGAAGACTGCTAAGCAAGTTTGAGGAACAAAATTATATTTGCTATTTCTGCTGAAGGCAACTGTATACAACCCTTTCAAAGTAGATATTTTTAAAAAACTAAGATTTTTTCACCTATCTATATGTTTTAAAAAGATTTATGGAAGATAAAAGCACATCCATTCTTGACATTTTTGTGAATAAATTAACAGTTTTATTAAATGAAGGCAAACATCAGATAATGGTATAGATTTTAAAAATGAAACCCAAACTGGCAGTATTGTATTTCAGAAATATGTCTGGTCCTTTTTAGATTACTTAAAAGACCCGCCATGTGTTTTATAAAGGAAGAATTTTGCTTTTTACTGCTATTTTTTTTAAACTGGAAAAAGAGCTTACTAAACTTCAAGCTGATGAACTGAGCACACCTGGACCCGATTCTCACATCACTTTTACATTAATGTATATCACAGATGTCAGTGTTGTTATTCTTGATTTATACTGCTATGAGAGGAGAATCAAGCACTTCCACATCTAACTGGAGACTTAATAAGCACCCCCCCCCCAAAATAAATCAGAAAACTTGTTTGATAAACTTATGAAAGTCAGAGAAAGCATTAGCTGAAGGGATGTAGTGGAAAATATTTTTTATTTTATTTGTTTAGCCCTAGCACCCCCATCTCCCAAGGCCATTCAAAATTGGTCTTCCATACAAATACAAAGTGACTATTAAGAGAATTTGAAATCAGATTCATTTGAAGTTCCTTCATGATGCTTTTATCATAGTTCTGATTTTGCTTTCAGAAGGGTCAAAGGATTTAACAGGTTCAGGGGAATGAAAAATAAAAACATTTAGTTCTAAATGTACAAGTAAGGCACAATATAAAGCCACATCATAATCTGGCATGAAGGAAATAGGAACGGACAAGAATCATACATGGTACAGTAGAACACGCAGTCCATCATACTGATTCAAAAAGTGTGGCACCCAAATTCAGGCTGACAAGATCTTAACAAGAGCAGTTTGACAGCATGCTTTAATATGGAAACAAATTCTAGAGAATCCAGTGTATCAGAAAAAAGGAAGAGCTTTTAGTTTTTATTAAATCAAAATGTATAATTGGTTTTGGATGACAGAATTAAAGTGAATATTCACAATGCCTACACTCAAAAATATTCAAGGACTTCATTAAGATCCACATACCATGTATGAATGCTGAAAGCCTTTAGAGAACTATTCTCTAAAGATCATCCAAAAATGCATGCCACAATTTCCAAAAAACAGAACATGTACATTTGTATTTTTACCCTTATAAGATTTGTTTGTGATAAGAATACACGAAACATATATATTTTAATGACACTAGAGGAAGCAGATTGTTACTGGCATTAAAGTACAACCATTTCTAGACGGTTTAAATGCCACAGAGTCCCCTGGTTAAAATGTAAAGCTGCACAGCTTGCCTATGTCATCTTTATGATAAAGTTAAACCAGCAAAGGTCTTAACTTTACTCTACATTTTACTGCCAGGTTTTATTTAGATCAAGTATCGCTGCAGCATTCTGACCAGCCCAGAGTTAGCAGCAAATGGCAGGAATCATATAAAAACGCAATTTTTTTCTTCTTCTTTTTAAACAAAGTGCTTTTCTAAGATATACATACTTATATAAATAGGTACAAAATAAAGTGTCAACATTAAAAAGCTCAACTATTTAAAAGCTTTTAACTATTTAACTTAAAATAATACATAGAAAACACTGAAATGCAAGGGTACGGAATCCACTAAAGAGATTCAAAGTCTTTTTTGAAATGCTAGACCAAAATCATATTCTGGTTTTCAGACAAAATAAAAAGCTATAAAGCAACGTTAGCTCAGTATTCCTGAGCAGCTAGAAAAGGGCATTTTTCTACCTTATCGTCAGTTTAATTTGTCATGTAAATCCTACCTGATTGCAAAACTGCTGTCATCATATTTTGAAATACTGCCTTGTCTATACAGTTCTGATACAGCGTTTGCACCTTTCTAGCATCACGAATGTTTAAACACAAGAAAGGACTAACATTATTTCAAATCTCAGTATAGCCATGACTTTAAATTTACATGACATTGACATTCTTTGTCAAGATTTCAATGGCCAAATGCATCTCTGGTATAACTCTTGGTATTGGTAGAATTACAACAGGGATGCATCTGACCCATTATGTTCTGTTCTGAAGCTACAAACCTGTGCTTCTCCTCCCGCCATGTTAAAAAAAACAACAACACCCCCCCCCCCCCCAAACCTCCCCAAACAAACAAGACAGTCCCTTGCTCAAGTTTTTAAAATCCTTTAAGCGAATTTTCTAAGTTTTGACTAGATAGTATTGGGTACTTTTTCACAAGTCTTGAAAGAAAAACTTGGTGATACAGTTCAGTAGTGGTATTTTGGCTTCCTCCACCCTTTAAAATTTTTCAAAATATCAAGATGTAGAATAAGTTGTGGACACATTACAAGCATGTAGCAGGATTGCCATTTTCATCTTCCACTCTTTAGTTTACTACTTTTGATTCAGACCTTCTTACACTAAAAGTTTAGGTATAAAAATAATTCTACCTATACATAAAAGGAGTCACAGTACAAACTTAGACAAGCTACATGAAGGAGAGAGATTTCCCCAAAGGGAGCGGAAAGAAAACCTTCATGGACTTTTTTTTTTTCATTTTTTCAGCAGCTACATTTTAAAGTATTTGGTATTTCTATTCTCAGTAGACAGTGTTTTGTCATTATCTTTAAATAAAAAGGAAAGGGGAGAAAAAAGGGGTCCATGAAACCAGAGAATGATCTTGCCTTGACATAAAGGACTTTCTCGTCAAGAGATAAAGCTTTTCATTTATACTCTAAACACTGACTAACAAAGCAAACTCTTATGAGCAGAAGAGCAAATAAGAACTAATGTGTGTTAGTATTTCCCAATCATAGAAACTACTGAATTAAGAATAAGTCACATATAAGTTTGAAGAAGCTAGTTTTGAAATTTCTGTACAAAAATATAAAAGAAAACTATAAATTTTGTTTTTGTTTTAAGCCTGTGCTGATCCTTTGAAACATCACATGCATAATAATACATCAACTGGAAAAGTGGCAACTAAGGAATTAGATTATTTGTAGCTCTTTTTCCTCTTTACATATATACATATTACAATAAAAATAATTTTATTTTGGTTGTTTGGTGGAAGTATCCTACAACAAGCTAAATAATTTTTTTTAAATTCTCAAAGTTGAAAACTATTTTTCCAATAGCTTCCTAAAATCCACATATATTAAAAATTTCCTACAGCAAATGCAGAGAAAAAAAAAAAGATTGAAAGACTTCGAGATGGTCATCAACTTATCTACTATGGAAGCGAACTAGAAGAACAGCAAAATAATATTATGTATGAATGCTCCTTCTGTAGATAATTGGACCCAAACAAAAAAAAAAATTCACAGTTCAGTAAGATCCCTAACCCTTAAATTTTTTTTTTTTTTTTTTTTTTTTTTTTTTTTTACATTCAGTACAGTATCATGTAAGCTGTGCAAAACTTTACTTAGACTGGCAGTTTGCCATATCAGTTGCATTTGTCTTTGGTACAAAAATAAACAATCGCATTAATGTGCAAGTATTTGTTTTCTTCCGGCCAAGTACCGAAATTGAATTTTCTAGAGCCATCTTTTATACAATACATAGACTCTGTGGCATATATCTACATTTTCAACATATTCTTATATACATTCAAAAATCTGTAAGAGCTGGAACAAATACATGAAACCCCATAATCTTACCATCTATACATCTTGTTTTTTCCTCAGGGTTTTCATCGTACAAAAACTTTACTAGCTTATATTTATAGCTCTCCCCCAAAATACAAGGCACAAAGAATATACTTTTTTTTTCTTCTCTTACTTTCACAGACATTTAAATACAATATTAAGCTCAGAAAATTAAAGTCTTTTATGGCACACTAGCTCTAATGCCGTGTGCACTATGTACAAGTTAATGGGTGCAAAGAAAGCTTACTGGTTTTATTTTTTAGAAGAAAAAAAGCAGTAATTCTAAAAAAAACCCACTAAACTTTGACAGTTTACAAAAGAATGCTTCCTCTTAATTTTTAATTTTACTCAGAGCATAAACCTGCCACAATGTTCGGCATTTTGCTAAAATTTTCACTAGCACAAAATGTGTTTTTGCTTCTAAAGCAAATTATATGATCTGGTCCTAGGTTTAAAAACACCTAATCTCTGTATTTGTGCCTGAAGCAGCTTTAATACTATATGGTTTATGCTCCAAAAATGCTAATTAAGCATTTTATATCGTGCGTTTACTTATCCTATTACAATGTTATTAAAAAAACTATGGAACCTAATTTTAAGTGTTTACATAATGCTAAACTGACATGCAGACCAGAATGAAATTTACAGTGGAGTACTTAACACAGGTAGAGCTCTGACCAATGAGATTAGGTGAAATGATGTCTGTTAAACTTTTGACGTTGGTATTCGCAGCCCTACAAGGCCACCAGTGGGGTCTCCTTCTGCAGTTTTCTCTAAAACTTGATTCACAAATTCTGATGTTTGACCAGCTACAGGTAGTCCTGGAAAGGAAAGTTAGGGATGTACTTTAAGATCATTTTTATTCCCACATATGTGCATATTTTAAATAATACAAAACCTCTCAGAATTCCTGCTGTTTGTCAGTAACCAAGCAGAATGCCTAAAGCTCTGTTATAATTGGGCAACTGCTCCTATAGAAATACTAGGCTGAAGGGACTCAACACTTGTTACATATCAGTTTTGGAGTATGTGGTTGATTAAGTTTATTCCTTACCAAGAGTATCTTTAATAAGTACATCAAGCTTCTGTTCCATGTTGGTTCCTCTGTCATCTTTAGGACTCTGCACTCGATTAACAATTTCTTGTTTGATAGAGTTGATCACAAACAACAAATTATCTACAGAAAAAGACAACATTGGATCACATAGTAATCTCTCTTGGGCAGGAACTGTGTTTCCCTGTGTATGTACTGCACTTTATTGCAATGGGCCCTAAAATAGCACTACCACAACACAAATAACTAATCAAAAGCAAACAAAGTTATCTTTATGCACTACCTACAAGTTAAATACCAACACCCTTTTCTGCATAAAAAATTGTCCAACGTATGACTCTGGTGACGTGAAAATACAGAACATACAACTGTTTATATTAAGACAAAGGAAAAATTGTGTAAGTGAAAAAAGTTAATTACCATATTCTGTGTTGAGACCCCATAGCTTCACTTTGTTGGCTTCGTACTGGGCTTTCTTCTTTAGTCTGCAAGCCCTGTAATGGAGAGAGATTTAATATGCCTCTAATCACTATAGAACATTCGTTATCGCTAACTTCCATCCATGCTGCCAAAGATTGTGGTTTATTATCTGCTCCCACATCGTCTCTACAACCACTGCTTGTATTTGGTATCATTCATACACACAAAGAAATGCAATATGGCAGCAGTTCCTGTAGCATCTCAGGTTCCTGTTTGTTAAGTTAACATGATGGCTTTCTGGGTCTGTGCCAAAATCTATCAGCTAGGCCTGCTTCCAATGGGAAGAAAGTACAATCTAGTTTGAATTTTCAATGTGAATCAGATGTCCTGGTTGGTTTGGGGGATTTTTTTGTTTTGTTTTTTTGTTAAAGCAATACTAACCGTACAATGCTTGTCAAGGATGAAGCAGCTTCTCTCTAAGTAAGAAATTCAAAGAGGTCTCACTTGTAAAGCACATGTCTAGAATAATCCCAAATAGGATTAATTCACACAGGTAAAAGCCATTTAAAGTTTACCTGGAAGCTAGTTTGTTCTTTTCTTTTCTTGACCTCGGTCTGGCAGTTAAGGGAAGTTCACTGACTGGTGTCAGGTCACTAATCACCTTATTCAGTTTCCTTAGTTCATTGCCAATCTGGAGAAGTTTTTTGGGATTAGGAGTCAGGTCTTCCACATCAGTCCTCCGTGACTTCTTTACTGCATATTTTCCTATTTGAATACACAGACGACAGGGTTGAGGGGTGTTAGAATACAGAGACATACAACTAAAAAACATTCTTAAACTGCATCTGGGGAGTAGGTTATCTTTTCATCACTGGAGACCAGGGTGCAACCTATCAGGTCCCTGTGACCTTTTGCAATGTAAACAGGACCACCACACAATTTGGCACTATTGATGATCCATCCAGAACCGGAAGAGCAAATACTGCTGGTTAGGACTGAGATGCATAAGCAGCGATGGGTAGGATGCAGGATAATCCCTGAACTGTGGATGTTACAAGTCAGGGATGAGGCAAAACAGCAAGGTTTCATATCTCACTTGCACTGTCATCAAATTCACACCAAGAAATAAAACAATCCATTACTCTGTTATCTTCTTTTCTTCATGAAGTAAGAGTAAAGGGTTGGTATTACAATAAAAGACAGCTTGATCTAAGCACAACCATTGTACAGACTAGTCAAAGCCTTGTGGATATCTTTGAGGAAATCTCTTTATAGATACTGATGTTTATAAAACTTATGCAATTCACATATCTCCTGTATTTCTTTTATCCTTAGTAAAACCAAACTGACTAAGTGCATGAAAAAATCAGGATCTTTATTCCTTAGGAGTATCTGTTTCTGCTGCACATTCCCCTTCTTAAGTTTATTTAAAACAGGAAAGATACTATTTTACTTAAAATAACAGAGATACTGGCAAACACTTTCCCCAGAGACATTTCCCAGCTGAACTGATAACTAAAATGGCCTGTCATGAGGCATCAGCTGGCCTTTCATACACATTAAATTCTGCAACTTCTGGATGCTAACTAAGTGCTCAACTCTACAAGCATTTTGCATACAGAACTCATTGAGTTAAAGGGCAGTTCTATGTACAAAGGTCTTGCAAGACAGCCCTCCAAGTCATGCCTCTGAAGAAAGTATTGAAGACTTTCTCATAAAAGTGAACAGAAGTGCAAATCCCAATCTGGAATATATATATATAATTATATTTGTTAGTGATAAAGATATATTGCTATTTTTGCAAGTTATAAGTTTTTCCACATTTAAATAAACAGAAATGCATTAACTGAATTAAAAAATTTCCACCTCAGACAGAACATCATGCAACATTACTTTTTATAAACAAAGGGTTTGAAAACTATCAATATTAAAAATGACAGAGGAAATTTTCAATTTCAGTAGTGCAAGAGGATGTTAACAATACAACTAAGGAAGTTTTTTATTTCATTAACTTCAATGTCCCTTCAGAATTACGACCAAGTGGGGAACTGCCTACCAGCAGAGGGCACAAGACAGAAGAACAAACTCTATTCTCAAAACTGTTTGTCCTTGACATCATCAATAATGTCCAAAATACAGGAAAGTTGACTTGTAAAAAAAAGTCACAGGATGGAAATATGATATATGTTCACCAAATGGAAAGAGACAGAATATTACTTTATGGTTCTAAGAGGGTATAACAAAGAAGTCCAAAAAGATACTTAAGTATTCATAGATAAGATACTATTCCAAAAGCCTGCCACATACACAAGGGTGGAAGGAGTGTGTGAAGAGTAGCCAGGCAAGAGAGACCTCTACCTTGTTGACTTATTCTTTAGTTGACACTTGAATGAAAGTGCATCTCAGTACCATGTATTGGTCAACTCTACTGCAAGCAACACTAGATCCGCCTCCCAGTATTGGGGGGCAAAGATCAGGTTTGTTACTAATTTGTGACATTAGCAGTATTGCACAGAGAAGATTTTAGAACATTCAGTATTTCCACTGAGACTCTTCAGGAGTTACAATTCTCAATTCATCCATTTTCCTCTGGAGGGAAAGTATATTGAAGGTTACTACTGTATATGCAAAAAGAACGAGGAGTACTTGTGGCACCTTAGAGACTAACAAATTTATTTGAGCATAAGCTTTCGTGGGCTAAAACCCACTTCATCAGATGCATGCAGTGGAAAATACAGTAGGAAGATATATATACACAGAGGACATGAAAAAATGGGTGTTGCCATACCAACTCTAATGAGACTAATTGATTAAGGTGGGCTATTAGCAGGAGAAAAAAAACTTTTGTAGTGATAATCAGGATGGCCCATTTCAAACAGTTGACAAGAAGGTGTGAGTAACAGTAGGGGGAAAATTAGCATGGGGAAATAGTTTTTAGTTTGCGTAATGATTCATCCACTCCCAGTCTTTATTCAAGCCTAAATTTAATGGTGTCCAGTTTGCAAATTAATTCTAGTTCTGCAGTTTCTCGTTGGAGTCTGCTTTTGAAGTTTTTTTGTTGAATAACTGCGAGTTTTAGGTCTGTAATTGAGTGACCAGGGAGGTTGAAGTGTTCTCCGACTGTTTTTTGAATGTTATAATTCTTGACGTCTGATTTGTGTCCATTTATTCTTTTGCGTAGAGACTGTCCGGTTTGGCCAATGTACATGGCAGAGGGACATTACTGGCACACGATGGCATATATCACATTGGTAGATGTGCAGGTGAACGAGCCTCTGATAGTGTGGCTGATGTGATTAGGTCCTATGATAGCGTCCCCTGAATAGATATGTGGGCAGAGTTGGCAACGGGCTTTGTTGCAAGGATAGATTCCTGGGTTAGTGTTTTTTATTGCGTGGTGTGTGGTTGCTGGTGAGTATTTGCTTCAGGTTGGGGGCTGTCTGTAAGCGAGGACTGGCACTATCTCTTCCCTGGATGCACTACAGATTCCAAACAGTTAAATAAAAGTTATACTGTTTCAGTGATTCCTTCTCATATAGCAAAACAAGAACTCCCTTACATGAAGTCAGAGACAGCATCAGTATGTGAAGATGACAGCATCAAAGATGCTAACTAGTTACTAGAGAACTACTCTTACCATGATGGAGCCCATTCTTCTGATACATGTTACTTGGTAACGTATCTCGACTCCACTCCGACGGCCTCAGCATTCTTTCTTGTTGCGATGGTGTCAGTTGCTCACTATACTCCCAAAAGTATCTTCGTTTGCCTCTTTTTCGGCAAGATACTGCAGCACTTTCTTTTAAGTCTTCCACCGAATCATTTTCGTATCCTACAGGAATAAATTGCATTAGTCAGTTTATAAACTCAAGGTTGGAAATATTCTAATGTGTCTACAGGTACCAAACCAAGCATTCAAGAAACTACAAGTGAGAAGAGTTTTAGTTAAAGCCCTCAATGGACTTGCTCCACACTATCTAATTAACCTTGTTTTTCACCTTGTATGCCACTTTGGCATTTGCCATAAATCCAGCAATAGATGTATAGCCATTGATGCAGCTGCAACTGTGATAAGACAATGACTGCTGAATTAGGGAAAGCCTCTCTCTGCTCTTATACCACTGATGATCCAGCTATCCTCTTCTCCACAATCTCCCTATCACACAATGTGAGAGCTGCCATCTCTGCAATTCTTGTAGTGTTGGATAGCCGTCTCGTACCTCCCTCATCACTTTGTCCTTCAATTCTCAGCAAAAACATTCCAGTTCTCCCTCATTTCATAAAGAATCTATTCAGCAATGTAGAATTTTAAACAAAACAAAAAAGCATCCTAAAGGGCAAGTTGGACAAAGAGCAAGATCCTAATCCATCAAATCAGTCCAGAACAAAACTTTGTCTGATTGACACCCTCAAAAGCTTGGGAAAAAAAGATCACCCTTGTAGCATGCCCTGAAGGTCATGATAGCCAGCTTCGTCAGACCAATGGAAGAGAAAAAGTTCCAGTATTGGAGGTCCTCTGTTCAGCATTATCTGCCACCAGCCCCACATCTCATCTAAACAACTAGAGCCAAGAGCCATTCAGTTTGATCCCTTGTCTGCACCTCTTTAATAACAAAGGAGAAAAGATAAATAATCCAATTACAAAGAAAAGATATTTTAGAGTTAAATTAGGATGCAGTTTGTATGAAATATATTATTTAAAAACATGTTTTTATACCTCAGTTTTTAATACCTATACCATCAGGTTACAGAATAGAGAGTTTTCACTTTGCAACTTTATAGCACTGGTACTGGATTATTTTAGTTATCTTTTATTCTCTATCCACTTAGTTCTTCACCGCAGTTTTAAATAGGACAATTTTTGAAAAGTAAAATATTGAGTGTTACTTAAAAACAAATTGCAGAGACAAAAATGGATAATTGGGACATGGACATGGAATGATGTGATGTAATATGTAAAAATGTTAGTGATTTTATTGCATAGATAGAGAATCTCACTTCAATTTTTTCATGCACCAAGAGAGTAGGGCAAGCATTGGGATTCTATTTGTTAATTAATGCGTATTTTCCTTTTTAGAAGACAGGATGATGTGAATTAAATATCTGGGTTTTTTCCACCTTGGTTGCCATAATAAATGTAAGAATATAGATTTTGTATCAAGGTCCAAGCCTTGCAGATCTCAATAATGGGAATGTGTTTAAGGCCACTTGCCCTAAATCAAGCAACGTGAAAAAGTTGTGAAAAAGCCGAATATCGTTATGGAGTATATTAACAGGAGTGTTGTATGTAAGACACAGGAGATAACTGTCCCACTTTACTCAGCACTGGTGAGGCCTCAGCTGGAGGATGGTGTCCAATTCTGGGCATCACGCTTTAGGAAATATGTGGACAATTGGAGAGAGTCAAGAGGAGAGCAACAAAAAAGATAAAAGGCTGAGAAAACCTGACCTATGCGAAAAGGTTAAAAAAACTGGGCATGTTTAGTCCTGAGAAAAGAAAAGGTGGCGGGGGAGGGAGCTGTTAACAGTCTTCAAATATGTTAAGGGCTGTTATAAAGAGGATTGTGATCAGTCATTCTCCATGTCCACTGAAGGTAGGACAAGTAGTAATGGGCTTAATCTGCAGCAAGGGAGATTTAGGTTAGATATTTGGAAATACGTTCTAACTATAAAGGCATTTAAGCTCTGGAATAGGCTTCCAAGGGAGGCTGTGGAATCCCCATCATTGGAAGTTTTAAAAAACAGATTGGATAAATACCTGTCAAGGATGGTCTAGGTTTACTTGGTCCTGCCTCAGCACAGGAGGCTGGTCTTGATGACTTCTCAAAGTCCCTTCCAGCACTACTGTTCTATGATTCTAAGTAACGCCACCGAGGTAGAAAGAGATCTTTCAGAATGGGCTCACACTGTAGGAGAAGGGTGTATATTGGCAAATTCATAACAAGAAGTAACATTACTCAGAAATCCACCTTGAGAGTCTCTGGGAGGAGATTGTGGACTCTTTGGGCCTGTCAGCAATTGAGAGGAGAGACCCTCTAAATGATCTGGGAGACCCTCTAAATGATCTGGTTCTGCCCAAACAGAAGGTTAATGCTCTCCTGACATCCAGGTATGGAAGGCAGCATCCTCCCTGGTCTGATGTAGCTTTGGAGGAAAAAAAACCTTGGAGATGGAGGACTTGGTTGATGTGAAACTTAGTCAACACCTTAGAAAGAAACTTAAGATGCGAATGTAATGAAATTTTGTCCCTGAAAAACACTATAAAGGGAGCGTCCACAATTAAAGTCCGTATTTCCCCAACTCTTCAGGCAGAGGTGATGGCCACCAACAAGCAGCCTTCATGGACATGTAAAGAAGAGAATAACAAGTGGCCACTGGTTTGAAAGGGTGTTTCATAAGACATTTAAGTACTAAATTTAAATCCCACATAGGAGTGGGTTCTCTAACCTAAAGAAAAAGACTTTTCAATCCCTTCATGAAACCCACTGTTGTGGAATCAGCCAACACTGATAATCCCTCAGATGAGGAATGAAAGACTGTCATAGTCACCAAATTAACCCTAACAGAACTTAAAGACGATCCTGACTTTAATTCTAACAGATAGTCAAGGACAGGAGGGAGGGAAGAATGAACAGGTGAAAGACATTGCTTGACAGACCAATGATGGAATCTCTTCCATTTCTGAAGGTAAGTATTTTGTGTACACCTTTTCCTACTGTTTAATAACATTTGTTTTAAAATGTAAAGTATTAAGTAAGGCTTTCATTTGAAATGCTTTAACTGTTTTTCTTTCTTTCTCTGTATCTTTAACAAAAGGTTAAAAGGATTTTTAATGGGGTGTTTGTCACTAAGCAGGCTGACATTGCTATAAACCAAACCCCGAATCTTGCTTAATACTGTAATTTTTACACAAGTGACTGGGTCATGTTAACTCCTATGACTCTTTGGGCACCTTTGGGCATTCTAAATTAATAGAACTTTATACTGTACAAAAACAAAACTGAAATGGCTTACAGGACCATCAAAATACATAATAAAATTCACACTGTGATTCCAAGGATATTTCAAATCTGAAGTTTAGATTACTGAGCCGTTCCTCTTTAGAACAGTGTCCCAAGACACAAGGAGAACAGAAAAGTTACCAAACATAGATTCTCCAGATAATGACATGGCTGGGTAGATATTAGACATTCAGGGCATTCTGTAAACAGATGGGTTATTAGTTTTTAGTTAGTTGGACCCCATTCTTTTCAAGAGTTGCTTTACAAGATGATGTATTGGGGCCATTGGGAAGGGAAGGGAAAATGATCTAGTTTGATTTTGACCTTGCCTAGATCACGTCATTCCAGAGGGGCAGCTATCAACGCAAGTGCCCTCAGTTTAGAGTCTAGAACAGGGTTTCTCAAACTGGGGTCTGCGAGTCATGTCCGGGGCTGCTGGCCCCGCTGATCAACTCCTCCCGCTCCCTCCCAGTGCCTCCTGCGTGCCATGGAACAGCTGTTCAGCGGTGTGCAGGAGGCGTTGGGAGGAAGGGGGAGGAGGCAGAAAGAGATGGGGAAGAGGAGGGGCAGAGGTGGGGCCTTGGGGGAAGGGGTGGCGTGGGGGTGGGGCCTGGGGCTGAGTGGAGGGCTTGGGGATCTGTGACAAATTTTAAATCAAAATGGTGGTCCTCAGGTTGCTGAAGTTTGAGAACCGCTGGTCTAGTAAAAGAAATGGGTACTGAAAGTTAAGAATATGATCAACCCTACCAAATACATTCTTTGCTACATCCTATGTGCAAAAGTAAGGGAGTCTGCATCCAATAAGCTACCTGTGATAATCAAGAGAAGCATCTTTCCTCAAATCAGTGGTTTTCAAACTTTTTGAGCTGAGTCCCCCTTTGAGTTACAATTTTTGGTTGTGTCCCCCAACCCAGACAGAAATAGACACAATACCTGCCCCTCCCATCCCAGGTTTTCAGGGTGGGGAAAAAGCACGTGAGACGGTCTGTGGGGGTGGACCCAGTGCTGGGCGTGGAGGCTGCCATGAGTGGAATTCCGCTCAGCTGCATCAGATGTTGACACTGACCCACAGGGTGGCCCGCTGAGATGAGTCAGGGAGTAGAGGTGGAGCTCCTTCCCCGAGCCCTGACACATGGGGCTGGCGTCACCACTTACCCCCCGACCGTTCCTCCATTTCCCCGTAGGATGGCACGCGCCACCATTTGAAAACCTCTGCCTCACAGAGTCTCAAAGAGCTTTGCAAATATTAAGTGATTTAGCCTTGCAACACCATATTGACGTAGAAAAGTATTTTACAAAGTTAGAAACTGAAATACAGATAAGTTAAGTGACTTACCCAATGTCACACAAAGTCAGTGTCTAAGCCAGAGAACATGATTTCTTAACCATCAATTGTGCATTGTAAAAAACAACTAAAACAAAGAGTCCACAAACAAAAAACCCAGACATGCACGTCTGGTAAATTTTTCCTGAACAGTGTATGAGCTGTCACCCTAATCCCAAAAATCACACACAATTCATGGTAAGGATAAGGAAAGACCCTCGCACTCTTGTTTAGGATTTAAAATGCACTTTGTGACCTACCCCATTTTGTTACCCTGTAACTACCCAGTATTATTAGGGTTCAGGGATTTGAAAAAGAAGTATACAAGTCTGTAGAAATCCTTCTGGACCTGTTTTCTGGCAAGAACATTTTGGAGCTTGAGAAACTTTGCAGGGTGAATAAAAATGGATGATTAAAAAAAAAAAAAGTATTTTAACCATACTTTAAAAATAAACTTATTTAAAATTAAATTTGAAGTGCTAACCCAGCATTTGATACCAGTAGTAGCTTCTGCAGGTTCAGTGAGAATATTTTTTCATTTCAGTTTGTTCAACTACGTCAGTTCAATGACTAATTCATTAAAAGTCAAGAAACTGAGTGGGAGTTGAATGAGATCTACTAGTTCTAAAATCTTGAAGAACACAGTGATAAGAAAATCAGTTCAATTCACTAGCTACAGATAAGACTTTATTTATTTAATAAATCAGTTTGAAATATCAAAACATGTTTTCATAAATCTTTCTTATATACCCAGCACATTTTAGGTAGTTTTTTTTTTTAAACTAATACAAATATTGTGCAGTTTGGGGGCATTTTAGTTGAATTCCTATTTCCATCCAAATGCAGCTGGACACAAATCATTAATAAAATATTAATCTAGTAAATAATAAATGTGTCATTCATCGTTTTCTAACATAACAAAATGTAATAATTAGGACACTGAACAAATGTATTTATTTAAGCAATTGTATAACTTAACATATATGTGTAGTTATGTTCCTGGCTGTCCAAAGGATTTATTAAATTTAGTGTAATGGCTATATTTCACTGGTAAGGAACCATTAAAAATGGTGATCTGCAACTATTAAGTATCAACCTTTCTTTAGAAAAATAACTGAGTAAAATGCAGACCAAGAGTAAATGTTTCTTGCTTGCTGATTTATATCATGATTGAAAGTTAAATGACATCTTGCTAAATCAGCAGTTCCCAGTCTTTCTAAGCAATTTACCAGCTAGACCGCAGATGAACCAGCTAGTGCCTCTTATTCTACTGAATATTCTAATCCAGCATGGAGCTTTGGCTACGCCAAAGTGTATCCCAGCCTAAATACTCCTAGGTCGGAAGGAGGGAATGGTGCTGCATCAATTCTCAGTATTATAGGAAAGTAGAGCCTAGAATGCCCAGAAATGGTACATATATCAATTTAGGAACTAGTGCCCTAATTTTATTACTGTATAATGGAAAAGGCAGAGAGGAATTCTGTTTTTAAAACAGCTGGTCCTCTATTAGCTAGTGTGACAGAGAACCTAGACAACCCACCTGGAATCCCATGCAATGTCAGTTGACCTTTGCTGAAGTTTGGGCTCCTAATGCTCTTACCATACATTAGCTACTCTCCTGCCTCCATGGCAGAAAGGCAACTCAGTGCTGGCCTGACAAAGGGAGAATGTAGTTAAATAGACTGAGTCACCAACCCCTGCCCAAAGTGTAATTTTCATTTATTTACTAGATTATCCCTCTTTTCAGCTGCAGATGCGGTGCACATAAGCTGTGCCTCCGCAATGACTGGGTGAGGAGGATAAGACCTCAAAACAGTTGTTGCTCAATAGAGATTGGCCATCCACTTTTAGGATGTCCTTTAAACTATGGATAATGAAGGAGCATGCAGATTATTAGTTTATCATTGTTTCAGATGAGTCAGTGCTTCATAAACCCACAGAAATACAGGGGGGAGGGGGAGGGAAAGGTGAATCAAAGTAGAAAATATACATGATAGGAGTCAATAAAAACAGTATGTTCTTTGTCCTTTCAGTGAAATGCATCTCTGTGTCAAATTTAACTCTCTACCTTTAGTTTCAGTATAACAGAATGAAAAGTCTTCCTGCTCTATGCTTGTTTCATCACTCCCTCCTTCCCATCTAGGTGTATTTAGGCTGGGATACACTTTGGCATAGCTAAAGCTCCATGCTGGATTAGAAAAATAAAGACGCAACAAAAACCCTGGTACGGTATAATTAGACTATATGGTGATTTAATCTTTTAGTTCCACGCTTGGAATAAATGACCTTCATTATTTACTTGAAGCTCCAGTGAGCTTTTATAGGCCAAGAGGCTTTTTTGTTTCTTAGTTACGCTGCACGTAGGAGCAGTAGTATTTAATAGAAGGTGGAAGGGATTGCTGGTCAGAAAAAACTTTCAAAAGAGCAATTAATGCAATGCCACTAACTGAAATTCCAGCAATTAAAAAAAAATTCCTTTTCAAGATTACATATTATTAAACATGGGAACCTAATAATGTGGCATAGTGGGCCAGGAATTATACAGTACGGCAATCAAGTCATACCACACAAAAACGTAACAGAAGCCACTCAAAGCTTCAGAAAAAGAATAAGTTGAGAGGATTCCCTACAGAAGCAACGAAGAGGGAAAGCTTAGAGGATGTTAATAAAGACTTGTAATGTACATGTAGAAGTAATATAGAGCATATTGAATACCCAATACATTGTTTTATACAAGGTCTACTCATGACTTCTTCCTTACAAACGTGCTTGACTGAGATTGCTGATTTAAAGTGGAATTTTTTAACTGCCTTTTGAGTTTCCTCCCCAAAGTTATATATTGTCAAGTGTTTGTAAAAGCTGTTAATGGCTATTCTATGCTAGAAAGTTGTGTAAAATGTGTATACCCACTAATAAAACTAAGCCCCTTAGCTATAGACCTCTTTGCTTATATTTAATCTTTACAGTAATAGTTACTGCATTGTCACCTTCCAGATGAGGGTTAGTTCTCTGTTTTCTACTTGCAGATGAGAGAAGAGTTCCGTCTCCACAGTCCCATTGAATGCTTGGTCTCTGAGACTGCCAACAGGGGGCCAATTAGGGACAATTATAGGATTGATCTGTGTATTATGGACAATTGTCCAGTAGGATCTACACCGGGGGTCTCAAACATGCGGCCTGCGGGCTGCAGGGTTATTTCCTGCGGCCCGCCATAGGCGCCGACTCCACCAGCAGCCAAGCTCCCCTCCCTCCCGACCACATAAGGAATAGTTACAGGTGTTTATATTTTATTAAAACCCCGCCTCGTATTACAGTTTTAAAAAAGTTAATACATTGACTTTTAATAGCATACTATATTACTCTTCATTTTTTTTCATTTTTGACTATATTTTTGTATCATTGTATTAAAAGGTTTCACTGATGCGGCCCTCGGGCCATTATACTAGTCCTCATGTGGCCCTCATGGTGATTTGTGTTTGAGATCCCTGATCTAGACAGACTATCAACTGATTTCATATGGGCTACCCAGGCAACTGTCAGGGGATAAAAATTCTCTTGATACACTAAAAGAAACAACCTATTGCAGAGCTGTAAGGCTCTGTGTATCCCACTATCAAGCGATTGACTCAATACATCCCAGCCGAGGAAAGGGATGGATAGATACATGCAGTAGTGTCTAGTAAGCTGGGAGTCAAGAATTCTACATTCTCTTCCTGATTTTACTACTGACTCTTTGTGACCTTGACCACCTCTGTGAAACGGGCAGAATACCTACTGTGACAGACCCAGACCAGTGGGGTACAGGAGTCTGGTAGAGGGCAAATATACTGGTCACTGGATGAGTAGTTTTCTGTTCCCTGAGTGACCAGAGCAGGGGCTGCACTAGAGTAATCAGGAACCTGCTAGAACCAGTTAGGGCAGGCAGGCTAATTAGGACACCTGGAGCCAATTAAGAAGAAGCTTCTAGAATCAATTAAGGCAGGCTAATCAGGGCACCTGGGTTTTAAAAAGGAGCTCCCTTCAGTTTGTGGTGTGAGTGTGAGGAGCTGGGAGCAAGAGGTTCAAAGAGCTGAGAGTGAGAGGGTGTGCTGCTAGAGGACTGAGGAGCATAAGCGTTATCAGACACCAGGAGGAAGGTCCTGTGGTGAGAATAAGGGAGGTGTTTGGAGGAGGCCATGGGGAAGTAGCCCAGGGAGTTGTAGCTGTCATGCAGCTGTTACAGGAGGCACTATAGACAGCTGCAGTCCACAGGGCCCTGGGCTGGAACCCGGAGTAGAGGGTGGGCCTGGGTTCCCCCCAAACCTCCCAATTGACCTGGACTGTGGGTTCTTCCAGAGGGGAAGGTCTCTGGGCTGTTCCCCAACCCACATGGTGAATCTCTGAGGCAAGAAAATCTGCCAATAAGCGCAGGACCCACCAATATAGAGGAGGAACTTTGTCACACTACCTAATGGGGTGCTGTGAGGTTTCATGTTTGCATTTGAAATCCTTGGATGGAAGGTCCTATGTAAGGGTAAAGTGTTACTATCTATATCTATAAATCATTCCAAAGCATATTTCCCCCAATACTTGCTTGGCAGAAAGAGTTGCCCACCTCCTAATACCACAAAATTCAACAAACCTGGTTCAGAGAAAGTATCACTGATGTCATCATCTTTGTCTTCCTCATAATCTTCTTCCTCATCATCATTTTCAGACAGTTCATGCTCACTGCCAAACCCCTCATCATGGTCCTCATCTTCAATATCTTCCTCATCCTCCTCATCCTCTTCAGGGTCTCCTTTGGTTGGCTGCTCACCCAAACTGTCTGTGACAAAGAGAGAATAATTGTGCTCTTCTTTCTTCTGTGAAGGATCTGAGACAGATGTGCTGGCAGAAAGGCTGCTCTCCCCCACAGCTAGCCCTGGAGGTTCCTGGGGTGGGCTGAGGAGCAGCTCCTGAGTCTCTTTAAAAGGCAAAATAGGAGTATTATGACTCTGAAGGGAATCTATCCCTTTCCTCTCTTGTCTCTTTGCTACAGCTCCACAATAGCAGGTGTTCTCCTTTGCTGCATCTGCATGTGCCTGGCTCAACACTGGTCTGCTTTGTGGTAATGGACTGATCTTTACTTTTGCCTTTTTAACATAGTCTTTACATTCAACGTGACTGTTCACCTTCTCATTATTGTACACATTGGTCTTCATGATTTGTGTGCTTGAAGTGGGCTTGCTCGCCTTTTGAACACAGTCTGACAAAGGCGCCTCAGCCTGAATGTTCTTTGAGGAACACACAGGGGCTGCTGCTCTACTTGTGATTTTTTTCCCAGGTAACAGAGAAGTTAAAGGGTTTTGTTTTACACTGAAGAGTGAATCCGAGTAATAAAGTGAATCTGACACAGGTTGAGAGTCCTCACTGTTAAGCTGGGCCAGAGTTGGAGTTTTACTTATCACCTCTTCATCTTGGTATGGGCTTGAGAAATCATCAAGGCCCAGGTAATCCACTTCTTTTGTTCCCCAGATGTCACAGCTGGTTAGTTTGGTGTACTTAGTTAAGTCTTCACAGTATGTGTCCCACTGCTCCCAGTTTGAGGTGAAAGCAGCTTCATTATCCAGGACGTCTGTAAAAGACTCTAGATTTTCAATATCTTTGCAGTCCTCCATAGAAAGGAAGTTGTCTCTGGAGCTCTGTTGATAGTCCATTTCTCTGTCCTGTGCATAATAAGACAAGTTAACAAGGCACATTTTATAGACCATCCAGCTGCCTGGTCTATAAAAAACAAAAAACCCCAAAACAAACAAACAAACCCCCCAAACACTGAGTGCTGGTGAAGTGTACCAGCCTGATGGCACATGAGGCCTTTTTATCCCAAAACCAGACACAGCACAAGTAGCTCAGCGTTGAGCTAAAGCAGGGGTGGGCAAACCACGGCTAGAGGGCCGGATCCAGCCCCTCAGGGCTTTGGATTCGGCCCACGGTATTGCCCCCCATGGCACCACAGGCCCGGCGCCACTCTCAGAAGCGGCTCCCAGGTGGGGGGGACAGAGAGCTCCGCGTGCGTTGGCCTTGCCTCCAGGCACCACCCCCCACAGCTCCCATTGGCCGGGAATGGGGAACCGTGGCCAATGGGAGCTTTGAGGGAGGTACCTGGAGGTACGGCAAGGGCAGCGCACACAGAGCCCTCCACCCCCCCTCTCCCCCTGCACCCTGCCCCCCAACTCCCTGCCCTAAGTGCCCTACCTGCACCTCGCACCCCAACTCCCTGCCCTGAGCTCCCTCATACACCCCACACCCCTCTTGCACCCCAACCCCCTGCCCTGAGCTCCCTGCTGCACCCTGTACCCCCTGTGCACCGCAACCCCTGCCCTGAGCCCCCTCCCGCAGTCCGCACCCCTGCCCTGAGCCCCGTCCCGCAGTCCGCACCCCTCCTGCACCCCAACCCCCTTCCCTGAGCCCCCTCATACACTCCGCACCCCTCCTCTGCCCCAATCCCTTGCCCTGAGCCCCTTCCTGCACCCCCTCCCACACCCTGCACTTCCTCCCGCACCCCAACCCTCTGCCCCGGCCCTGCATACAATTTCCCCACCCAGATGTGACCCTCGGCCCAAAAAGTTTGCCCACCCCTGAGCTAAAGTATCTTTTTAGGGGAAAGGTAGGAGCATAGTTTCCATGCTCCATCAATTCTGGGCTTCTCTGCTGAGACTGCCAGCAAGGGTACCGGCCAATTGTGTTATGGGTTTTTGTATTGTGTGCACACCTGGCCACTGGGAACTGGACTAAGACCAACAATTCATTTCATATATAAAAGAGCCATCAGATGGAAATTACTTTAGTTCCCTACTCACCTGGGTCAGATTTATACAAGTGACCAAGAAAAGAAGGGCTCCACATACCAGCCATTACCAATGCCAGATATCCCAACCCTGAAGAACCTTGTTCTAGCCAGATCAATCAAATAATGAATATGAGCAATCTTTTTTCCTAGTCCATGCATGTCTGGTATAGGAAAAATTAGTTATTTCCAACATAAGCTTAGTTTACATTTTGTTCTGTTCATGTGTCTCATCCTCACCTTGGGGGAATGTAATGTCTTTACTAGAGAAGACTATATTGCTTGGGACTTATGTCTGCAAACAACATCCCAGCAGCCATACACCTATCTGCTCAATCTGAGGCTCCTGAACATAAGACATACCAAAGCCTCTGCTGATGGTTAGTTTTAACAGCTTCCTGTAAGTGAAACATCCCAGTTGGTGGCCTGGTGGTTGGGGGCTACGTCAGTAATAAGTAGTAGTGAATAATCAGACAGCAGACCTTCACTGATCAGCTCCCTATAGACCATCCCCTCATTTACATGGGAAAGGAAGATGCTACCCAAAGGGAAAAAACAAAGTAACTTACTAGTTCATACATGAAGTCTGGATCTGAACTATTTGCCAAGAGATCTGTGCTCGTCAGCGTCTGTTCTGAAAATGTGTGGCACTGAAAGGCATCCCCAAAAGGAGGGTCCATTCCGCTCACACTGGGCTACAACAAAATTGTTTGATTTTGTTAAGCAAGCTACAAAAGTTATATAAATATATACCTATTATATTATATGCGCACTCCTACACCCCATATACCTCAACTTTGAACTTGTTCTATACTTGCATTTGGAAGACTTTTAGATGAACAAATAAGCAAACAGCCAGTTAACGATATCCAATGCTTTTACCCACATGAGACACTAAAATTTGTATCCATCATGTAGCTGCTAGATAGTTGCTCATTTATTCCTTTTTGTTGTTGATTTGAAATTCTCAGTTGTTTGGTGAGCTTAGTGATATTTTAGTGCTTGTAGAAGTGACAGACTAATACCCCTGGCTCTAGTCAATACTCTTGTGAATGGGCACTATCTAAGTTTTTCATCCACTGCTTCATCGTTGGGCCTTAATCTTGCTTTGCAGCACCCTTACTATTCTAGTCCTGGAAGCTTTAAGTACACCTCAATTATTTCAATCCTGGGTAGAGATTGATGATTTTACCAATTTGTTCCATTAGAAACCAATTGCACATCTACTGGGGGAATAGGTGGAACTTTGTGTAGAAACATTTTGCAGTTAGGTTAGGATTACTGGCCACAGAAATAATAAGTAAAAAGACTCCTTCCTGCTTTTTGCCCTTATTCCTTATTTTTTACTCCTGCTTTACTGTTTCCACCCCGTCCTCACGAGACATCACTCATTAGTCCTGGGAGCTAGGGAGGAAGCAGCATTGCATTACTCTCACCTAGAGTTGGGCTGGTATGTGAATCATTGCAGTAATAAAAGACTGTTCCAGGCACCTACCCTCATCAGGAAGACAACTTTGCTGAGTCCTGTTTTATGACAGAGACTACATGACCAGTCATATCACTACCAGGGCCCAGAAATTCTATGGAATTTCTATACTGATTTTTGCAGCAAGGGTAAGCATTTAGTGTAGTATTCCCAGATAAGTCACAGCAGGATACAAGACTGTCAGAGAACCAGACCAATTATATCTCCCTATTTGTGTGTGTGCGTGCGCACAATAATGGAGCAGTGTAATGCTCTGTCAAAACCAACAGCCAGTTTAAAAACAAACAAAACAAACAAACAAACTGAAACAATGCTATGAAGCAATGGCAGTTATGGCTGCAAATGAGTTACTGCTATAAGCCTGATTTTTGGTTTCCCTCTAAAATCCACAAAAGAAGTCACACTGGACTCAGACTGGTAGAAGTCAAAATTTCTTCTATAAAATTTGAAATGAACTGGACAAGAAGTTTCTGAATTAGGACACTAGCAGGTCATAATTTGTGGTGTTTGCCTGAAAACCCACCTTGCTAGTAGGTGGTGATCTTGCTGGAAGATAAGTGTGTTTGACTGGCTCACTCTGCAGGTGGCTCATACGTCCACAGACAGAGAGGTAAAAGTGGCTCCCTAGAAAGAGTACCTAGGGTATGGGTTAAGCAGCCGTGAGAGTTAACAACTCTAAGAGCAGTCAAACCGGAGGAGAAAACTTGAGCTTTTAGTTTTGTTTGTCCATTGATGATTACTTTATTATTAAATAAAGCCAAATCCTATAAGGGGACAGTTTTGACTCTACCCAGCATCTTGGCTTTAACTTAAAACAGATTGGGAAAGGCATCTCACTTGTTATAATTTATACTCTTCTTCTGAAGGTTTCTTGTTAGCTCAAAAGAATCCTGTAATTTAACTATACTTTTAAAAATGCAGCAGTGTATGTGTGTGGAGGGAATACTTTACATAAGTAAATCAACCATAACACACACACCAGGCTTACCTGAGGCATTTCCAAGCCCAGATCCCCCAAATCCAATTCCAAACTTCTTGTTTTCTTCACTTTTGGATTCCTTTCCAGCTTTACTTCAGTGTCAATGGGTAGCATATAACTCATGCAATGAAAGGGATAGAGGTTTTCCCTGAAATAACTTCAGTTCACACACATGGAGCTCTTCTCTCTTTGTAGACTTCTGTGTAAAATGAACATACCAAACACCAAAAGTTAACCTTTATTGTACTACAAATTAAGAGCCACAAAAAGAAGAAAAATACAGGGTTTTTTTTCCTTCAGAAAAAAAAGTTAGTATCCCAACATGATCACTTCTGAGGGAGCAAAAAATAAAAATCCCCCGCAAAACTGAATAGACCTCATGCTGGAACATGCTACAAGAATTAGTTCTCCTCTCCTCCCACACCCTGGTGTAAATGAAAGAGCATGGAACAAACAACACCTGTGCAAACCTTGCTGCTAGTTTAGACTATTTTCCATTTCCTTTTGCCTCACTGTGTTTGTATGTCCTCTATCTAGATTGCGAGCTCTTCAGGGTAGAGACTGTCTTTCCACATGTCTGGAAAGTGCCCAGCATACTTTTAGGTCAATACAAACAACAGTCTTCATACATTTAATATCACAAAGTCAATACATTCTAGAATGAGACTCATGTAATCATCATCTTTTCCAAAGTGGATATTGAGGGCATACCTGTTTTAGTGTTTTCCCCATCCTTCTCTTACAAGTTCAGCCCATCCACCTCAAGCTACAATTTAATCAGTTTCTCATGCAGTAACATCTAGTGGCAGAAGGGAAGTGCAGCAGACACACTCACTATTAAAAAGGGGAACTTTCCTATTGGAACTTAAAGTTTGGGCCAATTCCAATTTCGTTACTCTTCCACTGACTTCTGCCTGGGCCTGGGTTGTTTTGATCCAATTTATTCAATAGTAATTTACTTGACTCAGTATCTTCTGTAGTCCCTTGGATAGTTCAAATGCATGATTGGAAAGGAGCCCTTATTTAGGCAATCCTGCATTTGTAACCACATGAGGAAGCAAGGCTATGAAAAGGCGAAGTACTTGCTGCAAACATGACAAAAAGCTCAGAAGATAAATGATGGTGAGTGCAGGAGAAACTGATTTATACATCAGAACTAACTAGCCATATTCATTCCTGGTGTAATTCCACTGACAAAGGCTGTTACACCAGGGATGAATTTGGCCAAATATTTATTGGCCTTCCTTCCCACACCCCCAAAAACATGAAAGTCTCTTTAAGGAATGATATGCACTGCCTAGATAAATCAGACAGCAGCAGTGTTGTATAAGTATTAAACCGAAATCCCAACTATCAACCCTGAAACAACAGTGCAGGAATATCAGTTGAAATGTATTTCCATTTCTTTTAATGTAATTTTTTTATTTTGCACACAAATCTCTTCTAAAAGTGAAACCACTTGCTCAGATTACTTAAGTTGTCATTTTTAAATGCAGAAATAGCACTAGTAATGTTCTCCGACAGCAGAGTAAACATGCCAGGAAAAAAAGAATCCTTTTATAGACGAACTAACACAGGAAGGTAAATTATTCCTTCCCACTGAGATAGTCTAACATTTTGTATATTGAATTTAGTATTTTTAAAAAGTCATTTATATCTTAAGGTAAGTGAAACAGAATGCAAACAAAGCTCATGCCACAGCAAAATAAAGTGGTTTTTAAATGGCAGAGTCACAAATATAAACAACAACAAAAATAAAAACCCACAAAGTTTCAGATAGCCCAAATTTTAACTAGGCAAGACAGGTCCTCAGTAAGACAATGCAAATGCTTCCAATGAAGCCACCCCTTTTAGGACCTACATGTCAAATAAAAACCAGCCAGTCTTTTCTGAAGTAAGATTTTCTTTCTAGCCTCATATTTCCAACAATCCCTTTTTTATTTTTGTGACAACTGATGTTTAAACTTTCTGGGAGACTGCCTCAGGGCATCAAGTGTGCAGCCCTTGTCTGTCTCAGTGCACTGAAAACTACACAAAGAAGAGACATCTACAGAGCAGGCTTGCTCAATGCTGTGAAATTTCACATTAGGTCGCAAAATAGATTTTCTCATTAGTCTAATGCAGGAGCAAAACTTTGCACTTTAACTTAAATTTTAAAAAAAAGTATGGAAACTCATTTTGGAGCCTGGCTTTTCATATTTGTAGCTGGGGGGATGGGGGATGGGAGGCAGGGTTGAGGAAATGGATCTCATCTTTCAATACTAATCTGCACGTCAGAGTCTCTTTGCAGTTCTGTATGTTCAAAGGGATCAATTTTATCTTCTATAAACTTAATATGCCAGCATCTTAATGATTTTTGGCATCCAGAATATCTGAAACTGCAAGTCTATGGCGTGTCAAGGTCAAATTCTGCCTTTTTACAATCCATACAACCCCACTGCCTTTGATACACAAGGTATAAAGTCGGGGCAGAATTTTGCCCAAAGCCCTATGGCAATGGGTTCAGTAATGATTTGACACTTCCCAAAAGCTTCTCTGCTCCTCAATCTCCAGAGTCTGCAAGTGTTATGAAGGTTATTAAGGAACATATCAAACTCTCATAAATTTAAGTATGGTAGTTGTTGATCTCCAACATAAACTCATAGTGTCATATTCTCAAATGTCTCGTGCCCTTACTTGACTAGGCAGAATGTATTCAAATAATCATTCTTTTTCATATATCTTGTAAGTTTTTGTTCTTAGTCCAAAATCTCATCAGAACACTTCAAAGATGGTACTTCAATCATACTTAGATAAATGCTAATGTTCATACTCTATGGGTAACCTCTGGTATTTACTGGTAGTTTTGAGGACAAGACAATTAAATGGTAAGAAACAGTGAGGGGCACAAGCTAATGACGCAGTTAGAGATTCTTAGTCTACCGTGTTCTCCACATTTACTATAGAGCAGGTCTGCCTTTTATTCTTTTCCATTCCTAAATTCCCTGGAATCAAACTTTATTATAAAACAAAATTAAACTTACTTAACATTTTCTGGGGCTGGTAGATTATAATGTAATGCACCAATCGACAATGTCTATGGAAACATGGGTTTAAAATCTGAATTGGTTGGAAAGGAAAATGAGTTTGTGGATCTCAAAGGACCCATTTATCCACATAAAACTACTATACAGTTCATCCATTATAAACAGTCTGTGCTTAAGACCACACTAGACCAGACTAGCAGGGGTGCTGCAGATCAGGATTCAGCATACTGAATACAAATTTGAATGAATGGAAGAACTGAAGGGGGGCCTAGAATAGGAGTATAAGTAATACTGAAGATCAGTACACTTGCAGAGTTGTATGGGAGCACTTGCCCTTTAAGAGAGTTCCATTAATTCCTTAAATAAACCATTAGAGGATACTGGGCATTGGTAATGTAATACACCCTTTCACTTCTAAATCACTGATGCTCCATGTGGGTTGTGATTATAAAGTTATAACCAACCCCTGTTCAGTGGAGTTTTCTAACTGATTATCTTGCTGGTGATCTTAATAGAAATGCTAAATGAACCACAGAGACAACTTTCAAGCTGGACCCTCCAATGTCAGGGTTGTTACATTGATGTGGTAGTGCAGAGGAGCTCGCATTGCCACTTCCTGTGTTGTATTTTATTCTCCCAGGTTGTAAATCCATCACCTTTCACCAGCATTAAATTCACTCAAAAGAAACCCCAAAGAGAAATTTCCAAACAACTGCAAGAGAATCTAGCTGAATGGCTTTACAATATACAGTGCACCTCAATCTGCAATATGAATTTTGTACTTTAATTAGTTATGAGCAAGATTGCTATTTCATGTTTGTGATGTTAGATGCACATTTTGTACAGTTTGAAAATAGTAAATATAGCTATATCTTTTGTTAAGAACTTGCACAGTGCCTATTATCACAGCAGCTAAGCACTTAGTTACAGAGTTAAAGTGCATTACATAAACAATTACATTTTCACTATCATGAGAAGTGTTTCAGCTGCTATTAATATGTCAAAGTTCCATTTTTAATACCAGAAGAAAGGGAGGAGAAAACATGTTTTCATGACTTCCCATGTGTACTAATCAATATTTTATTGATATTAATATTTGTACATGATTTGGAAGATGAAGAAATATAACTTGAAAGTTTCCCCAAACACCTATTAAGCCTGAGGACGAAGCTTATTAGCATAGGTGAAGAATGCCAGAGATGTCACATCCCCCAAAATTATGCCCATGTAATTTAAGAAGAACAACAGTATATGCTAGGTGTGTGTACTGTACTTAGCTGTAGCATTAACAATAATTTTTTTTTAAGTTAACTAGATTTGTCTCCTGTGTTTTTGTTATAGCTTCTTTCCTCTTCCTGAGTTTATTTCACTTTGTTTTCTGTTATGGACAACATATCTTCCCCACGACCCCCATTTGTCTCCCTACATTAAGTTCTGTTCTATACCTCTTCCCTTATATTTTAAGTCTCACTCCTCTTTCTCTCCCCAACCCACTCAAGATGGATCTCTTTTTTTGAAGGGTGGAATGTCTTCCTCCAACAATAGATGATTATGATGGTCCCTTCTCGCCTTAATGTCTATGAGTTTATAAATATATGTTGAAACTTCCCCCTGCCAAACCTGTATATGCATCCACCTGCACCTGCCCAGAGGCTCATTTCCCTCACCTCCTCCAACACCAGGATCCTGATAAAACTGCAGCAGCACAACCTGAGCCATTGTGCCTTTTGGCTTCTCCTCCCATCCTGAAAAGCAAGCAACAGCTCAGGACACTCTACTCCCAAGCTCTCCTCCCACATTTTAAGAAAATGATGCCCTGCTGAACTTTTCTGCTATCAAATTCTTCCACTCTTCATCTTAGAGTAGTAGGCCCTAGGATCATATTGCTTCCAGGTTGCCTCTTTCCCTCAGAAGAAGGAACCAGCAGCTCCAGTGGCTCTGCTCCCTCTCCCCAGTGAGATTACTCTCCCAAAACAAAATTTCTATTTGACAAAAGCAGACTGGTCTTCAAGACATGTAAGTGGTACTATTAACCAGGGTGGGCAACCTGTGGCCCATCAGGATAATCTGCTCGCGGGCCGCCAGTTTGTTTACATTTGCACGGCCACCCACAGCTCCCAGTGGCTGCAGTTTGCCGTTCCCGGGCAATGCGAGCTGTGGGAAGCGGCAGCCA